TATCAACTGATGTGAGTGTTTGAATCTCTGAAACTCGGTTTGCTACGAAGGTTTTCCATCTGGAGGGCATACTGCGGAACCATGTGAGGGTTATGGTCGAGTCTGTCCATAAGTGTTCAACTGGATTGACCGAATGCAATGCTATTCTAACCTTCTGAATTAAATTTGCTAATAATACCGCGCCGCAAAGTTCTAACCGTGGCAATGAAATCGCTTTAAGAGGTGCCACTCTTGACTTTGCACATAATAAGGCAGCCGTCCATTGACCTGCCGTGTCCCGAGAACGCAGGTAAATGCACGCCCCATATGCCTTCTCCGACGCGTCTGAGAACCCGTGTAATTCTAATCGCGTGTCAATATCTAAGTTAGTTGCAATCGTGCAACGTGGAATCTTGAGTGTTTGAATTTGTTGGATGTCTTCACGATATTCTAACCACTGAGTAGAAAGCTCTTGTGACACTGATTCGTCCCACCCTGCCTGAATCTGCCATAACCGTTGTAGGATTAACTTGGCTATGACAATAAAAGGACCTAACAAACCTAACGGATCAAAGAGCCGTGCGATTTCTGACAGTATAGTGCGTTTCGTAGTTCGTCTATTGTTGTCGAGTTGAATCATGAAATTTAATTCGTCTGTCCTTGGTGACCACGATAGACCTAATGTTTTCGGGTCCCTTTCTATTATGGTTTCTTGACTATTGTTGTTGCTACCTGGCATTGTAATAACACCTGGACAGTTTGTTGCCCATTTACGGAGGTGCATTCCAGCTTGTGAAAGAATAGTTGTGAGTTTAGATTTTATAGTACTGATTTCTATCGAGGTTTGAGCGCCCGTCAACAAGTCGTCCACGTAAAAATCGTTCATTATTATTTTACTAATGTCTGGGGCTGTCTCCGTACACTGTAAACCGATCTCGCGTAGAACTCGTGTAGCTAAGAACGGAGCGGAGGTGGTGCCGTACGTTATTGTGTTCAATTCAAATTCAGTAATCGGAGAGTGTGGATCTGAGCGCCACAAGGTTCTTTGAAATTTCCGTTGACGCGGCTCTATTAGAACTTGACGATACTATTAGATTTTTTCGATATCTGCTGAAATCACGTATTTATAATACCTAAATCTAATTAGAGTCGATATTAAATCGTTCTAAACTGTGGGTCCGACTAATTGCGTATCATTTAATGATAATCCTGAAGCAGATCTTGCCGAACCATCAAACACAACACGGACCTTTGTCGTGCTGCTTATCTTGGATACGGCGTGATGCGGAAGATAATACGCTACTGCCGTTGTTTCAGGAGTTTCTAAAACGCGTGACATGTGCCTTAATTTCTCATATTCCTCCAAGAATTCTACGTACTGCTGCTTTAACTGCGGGTTTTTACTTAGTTTTCTTTCTAATGCGTACAAACGTCGCTCTGCTTGTCGCCGTGATTCACCTAAATCTGCAATATTGTCCTTAAATGGTATGCTGACGATATACCGGCCGTCTGTGGTCCATCGCGTCGTTTTTCGAAAGTGTGCTTCACACTCGTCGAGTGCCCTAATTTCCGGAGGGTTAATTTCTTCGATCGTCCAAAATTTTTCTAATTGAGACTGTAGGTCATGATGCGTGGCCAAATGGCATGTACTTGTGACACGCGGTTCTTTGTCGGTCCAGGTAAACGTGCCGCCGATTACCCACCCAAGTTGAGTTTTCTGAAAGATAATCCCTGATGGGCATTTGTGTTGACCGACACATAGGAGCGACCAAAATAGGCTCGCCCCGATGAGCATATCGATCGGTTTTGACACATTGAATTCTGGATCGGCAAGTTCTATGTGCGT